CGACCTGGCCCCGGGGCACAGCCGGTGCCCGGGAGTGGGCGTAGGGCGGAGGCACGCCGGAACGATGCAGGTCCGTCCCGGCCGAGAGGGGACATGCCGGTCTGGAGACTTTGCGGGGACATTTGTGGGGTCACTGCCCCTGTCGGGCACGGCCAAGAGACGTGTAGGGACAGCTAATGCCACCACAGTCCCCTCACACTACGTCCCCACAGCTCAGCGCTGCCGTCCTGCTGTTTCCTCGGTGTGCTTGGGTGCACCAGCCCACCTTTCCACCCTCTCTTCTGAGAAAAGCCATGGCATGGGCATCACCTTATCATCCTCCACTGATGTGGCCGCAAGTGCCTTTGCTAGCTGTGGGGCAGCTGGAGCAAGGGGAGCTCTGCTTCACGTTCCCTTCAGCCAGGTCAGAGATGGAGGTGCAGATCCTCTGGGATCCAGTCTATGCTCTGCAGTAGGGAGGTTCTCCATGTGGCCTTCAGGTTCACTTGGGCATTGGAGAGGTGGGGGTGATGATGTCCCGGAACCAGATTTTTGGTCCTTGTACAGAGAGAGGAGAAGCAGGTGTCAGGGACATTTGGGTTTTATGCCGATCAGGCAAGGTATGGGTATTGCTTATCTGTCTGCGGTGGGGTTCACTGTCACAGAATTTGACTTTCTCTCTTGTTTCTCCTGTTTTCAACCAGGGAAAGGAAACTACTGGACCTTAGATCCCAACTGTGAGAAGATGTTTGACAACGGGAACTTCCGTCGCAAACGCAAGCGGCGCTCTGAGCCCAACGCCCCTGCGACCGCATCTGCAGCCTCCTCTCTGGGGGGCCTGAAGGCCGAGGAAGACCGACCCATCCCAGCCACAGGCAAACCGTGTGGAAACAGCCCACCTCCAGAGCTGGACCCCTCGCCTTCTGCCAGGGACCATCCCAAAAGCTCCTCTCCCTCCGGTATCATTTCATCCACCCCTAGCTGCCTCAGCACCTTCTTCAGCGGCATGAGCTCCCTAAGCAGTGGCGGCAGCCGGCTGACAGGGGGGCTCGGCAGTGACCTGCACCACAGGAACTTCTCTGCTGGACAGCTGAGCAGTGGCACTTTCACCCCGTCCAGCAGCTCTTCTCAGGAGGTGCCTTCACCAGATCAGCTGCAGCGGGTTGCGGGACCTTCCCCCGCCTACTACAGCTCCTTCCATCCCAGCAGCAGCAGCCAGGGAGCCCAGTACAACCACTACTACAACTTCACGGTTAACAGCCTCATCTACACTCGGGATGGGACAGAGGTGTAGGGTGCTGGGGCAGTCGGCCGGCGAGCGCTGCAAAGGGAACGGGAGTTGCAGGTGTATTTGGTGGCACGGCGGACCCTATGCTTTTGCAAACAGCATTTCAATGTGGACGCTTCCCAGGAGTTCCTCCAGGAAGACTGATCTTCTCACCTTTCAAAATAAGAACACCCCTTAAGCACCAGCAGAAGGCAGATGCAAAGTCTTTTCCCCATCCTGGAAAATGTTAGGTGGTTTAGATGGCTCGCTGTCTAAATTCTGCAGACGAAAGTGAACTGAATTAATGTTTTCAGAGGTTTCTCATTCTGAATGTAGAATAAGAAGTTTAAAAACTATAACTGTAAAGCGATATCAGCAGGAGCCAAGTGTAGACATCCAGTGAGTCTTAGAAGAGAGCAGGAAAAAAAAAATGAAGAGATTTCTTATGAAGTGCCTTGTACAATGTATTAAAAAACTCTTCTGCCAGCAGTTGCCTCTGTAAGCCCTTGCTTTGTGCCCTAATCCTGCAATATGCAATGCACGGAGGGGATACAGCGGGTAAACACCTACCCAAAACCTCCTCGAAACCCACGGAGGTTCACTCTGGTCTTCCTGTGCATGACGTATTGTATGGCCAGGGCCGTTTCTTGTAAAACGGATCTTTTTTCCTTGAGCTTAGTACCAAAGATAATCTAGCCATGCAGCTTTAGCACGAGAATAAACGCTGGGGTATTTTTATACATATTTGTACGTAATGTAACTCTTCTGTACATATGTTTCTATGTGGTTTTATATTTGTAAATTATGCTCTGGAGCTGTACTTATTTATAATGTGTTTTAAACTTTGTTAAAGTTTATTTTACTTCATTTCCCCCTTCTTTTTTGTTGTTTTATTTGTTTTGAATTTTTGGTTGGTTTTGTTTTTGTTTGTTAGTGTATTAATGAAACTTTTCAGGCTGAACAGCTGTTGGGAATAAAATGTTAACAATTGTTAGATTTTTTTGCCTGGTTGTTCCTCAGTACTTTTGAGGTATTTTAAAACTCTGTGGGAGGCAGGTTTTGCTTTTACGTGGTTTGGGATAAAAGGCGCAAAGATTTATGAACAATTTCATCTGCGTAGTAAAAGGAAAAAAACTACCCTGAGCCCAAAGGAGATGCATCTGAGCCGATTTGCAGCCTCTCGTAGCCTCACTGTGCAGAGTGGGCACTCTGGGCTTTTGTGTTTGTTTGGTTTTGTCTGTTTGTTTTTATCCCTGGTCTGAATTACAACCAGCCTTTTTCAGCCTGGTTTAGTAAAACAAAAATAAAAGCTCGCAAAAGTAGAAGAAGTGGGGCTGGTTCCAGTGTGGTGCTAGCTAACAGGCGGTACCAAGTCTTGAGTCTGACTGTTGGCTCGATCCATTTTGCAAATTAGGGTGGTTTTTTTTGGATAGGATTGCACCTGCTTAAAATGGCAGAGTCGTTGGGGAGTTGGAGCCAGCAGCTAGTGATGGGGAAAGGAGACTCCATCCTAGAGCAGCAATTCATCAAAACCATCAGCTCCCAATTCTTGCCGCTTGCATAAGCTGTCTGTTGGGTGCTGTGAGCGGGTAAAGTGTAAAAATAAATGTCTTCATGAGGAATGTAGCATCAATAATGAAGTTAAGCATGAAATTGCAGCTGTTTAGCATATATGCATCTGCCATGATGTAAGGCCATCCCTGCAGGCTATTCGGAAAACAAAATTGTTGGCAGTGCGATGCAGCGCCTCTTCTCTGGCTACCTGCATAACACACAGCGAGTGATGCAAGGCCAACCGCTGGCCTGATCCAAAATATAATGAAGCCATGACGAAACGTCAGATGACTTCCATGTGCTCGGGATTGGGACCAAGTACTTTCCCCAGCGCTGGCCAACCCCTATTTGTGCAATAGCTGAGACCAGTGAGTGGGTGGCAACTCCTGCCTCATCCCCCTCTCTCTCACCCCTTCCCAGCACTGATACCATCTTCTTGGCTTTAGGGGTAATTCCTCCATGTCTTGGTTTTTAATTGCATCTCAGATTATGCAGTGGTAGTGAGAATGGGAGGGAAAGGGCAGGCTGCCATTAGCAAAAAGCCGCGGTGGTCACTCTTGTCCTGTTTGGGTTCAGTCATATGAGATGTGGAATAGCTTTATTTGGATTTTAGACTGCTGAGTTTGCTCTGAAAATGGTAGAGGGATTCCCATCACCTTCAGAAGATTAAAAGCCAGTCCTTAAGTAAGCCAGGAACTGCTTACTCAGGTATCTAAGTTACCATTGCACCCGTTCTCTGCTCCACCAGCATGTCATCAGACCTCAGCAAGCAGTGGGCCCGTGTGGGACCCTTGCATGTGTCCAGTTCTTCCAATCAGATTTGGTTCAGGATTTACCCTCTGCCATTTCCATCAGATGTATGTTTCTACAGACAGTACCCACAAATGTTTGCTCGTGAGAATCTCGAATCAGTGGCAAATTTGTGTTGCTGTGTGGTCTGCATCTGGCAGCCTGTCCTCAGCAAACATCCCATGGCCCAACAGACCTGCTCATGCCACATCCGTTGGGTGGTGGCATAGCCAGAACATGCCAGCGCAGAGCCAGGGAACCCACTGGAGTGTTCTAGCCCCTCTCCTGAGGGGTGACGGTGGGCTCTAAGGAGGTTTTGGCACTGCGCCCAGTGCACCTTTCCTGCCATCAGCACCAAATTCTGCTCCCTCCAGGGAAAGTGAGCCCTTAGCTGGAACCAGGACCTGAGGCCCCTCCTGCCGACACATCACCCCAAAAGCTGATGTGCTCACCATAAAACGACCTGCTTAAGGAACACTTGAGAGTAGATTTCAGCAAATAGACACCTAGTCTGCAGAGAGGAGCCAAGTGAATGAGCTAATGGCAGCCTTTTAGGTTTCCTTTTGTCATTAAAAGAGACTCTTCTTTTAGCAAACGTGGAGAGAGGGAGGGCAAGGGGATTGAGTTTAATGAAAGGCACTTAAAAGCAGCAGAGCTATTGTCATGGGCTTTGGGGATTTACTGTGGATCCCCCGTTGAAGGAGAGGGAAGACAAAGGCAATTAGGCTGCTGGCCCCACCCTGAGAGCCCCCATTCCCCTCTAAATGCCAAGGCCATGCCTGGGATGGGCAGTTCTCCATGACAATGAGCCCCTTCCCAGCCTGGGCCAGGTGATATCCCAGCAGCTCAGAGCATAGCCTGATCCTAGTGAAGTTAGCGGAGAAATGTCCTTCCCTTGGAGAGACCCACAAACTTCAGGCCTCCATCCTTTCTGTTTTGGCAGCCATAGGAATCGCCCCGTAAAATGACGACTTCTGGCTTTGAGAGAACAGTGATCTCATGGTGAGTAGTGTGGACCCCGCAGATCCTGGCTGCTGGACACTAAGGCATCTAGAAAGATACCACCTCAACTGGGCAAGACTGATGGAGCACAGTGGTACGTGATGTGAAATCATGGTTGTGCTGATGACTGCAAGCACAACTGTCTGGTGCCTCTGCCCTGTACCCTCCCACGCTCCCCGCCAGGGACTGTGGCTTTTCCAACTGAGGACTGCAGACACAACTACTGAAAGAGAAGTAGAGTCCAAAGGCATTTCAAGAGCCGCCTTGGATCAGTAACACAGATGCTTGCTGGATCCTACGTGTGGCACTTCTCCAGCACGGGGTCGTTCAACTTTGCTCAGCGCTGGCCTTATCGACACGCCAGCAGAGGTTCAGGCAGGCACCCACTGCAGGTCTGCACTTGAGCTGCTCCACAGTACAAAGGCTTTGCCAGTACAGCTGGATCGGCCCAGTCCCCTAAAGGAGACCCAGCTCCCATCAACAAAGGAAACTCTGGTGCCAGTAAAGTTAAATCCCCCCACCCCCAGCAACACCCAGTATATTGCGGGGCGGTGGGAGGGGATTCAAGAGGCAGAACACAGCCATCCACACTGGGTTTCATCGCCCGCCAACTCTTTTGGAAGTAGGGCTTCAATTACTGCCACTGGCCATGGGCTGTTGTTTGCATCTCCTCCAAAGGAGGAGGCTTTTGATTTGTGCTGTCACTCACAAAGACCATGAAAGTTGCCCACCATATATTGTGCCTATACAGAAGGTTTTATTGTCTTTTTTTTAATGCTGATTGAGGGTGATTTTTCCATGAAATCTTTAGGAATATTTCAAAAGATGTAGTAGCATTCAAGGAGACTACAGGTACCCTGCTCTTGCTGTCACTGTATTACTAGCAATAGAAAATCTTCATCAGACTTCTTGAGATAAGGCCCCATGAGCCCTGCAGGTCTCACCTGACTTTGGATGCAATGTGCCTAAATCATGCCCAGCTTGTTCATGAGACGTGGTCCTGTTGTTCTTGTTCTGATAGCACATAAAATAAGAGGGGCTAAGCCTCATTTTGTAGCTTGACCCAAGAGAGGCAAGAAGCGAGTCAGACCTGGCTGATGGTACATGCATGGCTGATGCCTCAGCTAGAAATAACTGTGCCAGATGGATACTGAAGTTGTTGGAAGATGGTTGTTCTCCTTAGGCTGTGGCAAAAAAAAAAAGACTGCTTTTATTGTCCTGTTAGAAAATTCTTCCAAACCAGATTTTTGTTCTCAACAATAATTTTTTTCTCTGATTTCTGAAAGAAGAAAAAGTATGGATATACCTTTTCTTTTTGCTTCTTTTTGGCTGAAGTCTCCATCAGGTTGAACACCCCTCACCAACATTTTCTATTAAAAAGAAGGTTGATGGAATGTTTTTGACCAAATTACCGAGCCCAATATTCACCTGGGTAAGGTGACGAGAATTTGCCCCTCAAGGAATAACTGAAGTGTAATGTAAAACTTCAAAGGTATTTTTTTTTTTTTACCTTATGCCTGAACTATCTCTGAATCATATCAAATAATCTTCTCATTTCATAACACCATACAATGCAGGCTAAAAGTGTATGTGATCTGCTTTGTGTACTGCAGAATGGATGATTAAACTGCCTAACCTGAGGGACATTCATCCAGGGCCTGCCCCAAACACAGTGAAGTCAG